GGAAGGAAGGCGGGGTAGGGGTCGGCCTAGGAAAGGTTGGAGGGAGGGGGTAAAGGAGGTTTTGTGTGCGAGGGGCTTGGACTTCCAGCAGGCATGCGTGAGTGTGTTTGATAGGAGTGAATGGAGACAAATGGTTTTTAATACTTGACGTGCTGTTGGAGTGTGAGCAAAGCAACATTTATGAAGGGGTTCAGGGAAACCGGTAGGCTGGACTTGAGTCCTGGAGATGGGAAGTACAGTGCCTGCACTCTGAAGGAGGGGTGTTAATGTTGCAGTTTAAAAACTGGAGTGTAAAGCACCCTTCTGGCAAAACTGATGGAGTGAATGATGGTGTAAGTTTTTCTTTTTTGGGCCACCCTGCCTTGGTGGGAATCGGCCAGTGTGATAATAATAATAAAAAAATAAAAATTGAAAGAATTGGGTATGCTCATTTGACATGTTAAGTTGTATACAATGGAACCTCAGTTTTTCAAATTTGATTCGTTCCAGGTGTTAATACGACAATCAAAATCGATGACAGCCAAAACGATTTTTCCTGTAAAGAATAATGTAAATAGAATTAATCAGTTCCATAACCCAAATGACAAAATAATATATTAATAATGTACTAACTACTGCATAAACGTGTATAAAATTTTACAGGACAGTAACTAAAAATGAATACTAAATGAAAATTTGACTGAAATACTGTACAGTAAATGAACATTTAACTGCCCCTGACCGGTCAGAGGAGAGCTAATGTCATACTGGAAGCAGGAGGTGGAGGATAGGAGGGAGATGATACTGTTTGGAAGGAGTGTCATAGTATGTCAGGAAACTGTCCTTCTGGTGTTGTTTCTCTTCTTTGTCTCTCTTCACCACTAACACCTTGTTCTGGCTCACCAGTTCTTTGTCTCGCTAAAAACCTGTCCAGTGAGGTTTGTTTCAGGCTTCGTTTTAACCTTTGTCTAAATTGAGACATTACACTGTTGTTGTACATATTAGAGAGATGGATAGCCACTGCTTTGTCTGGATGGTATTTTTCAGTAAACTCCTGCACTTCATGCCTTTTAGTACACATTTCCTTGACAAGTGCAATGGGTACATCATCCCTTCCCTCTTCCTCTAATGACAGCTCCTCTGCTGCAGTCTGTTGCTGCTCCTTCTGAAGGCCAAAAGTTCTTCTGTGGCGAGTTCAGTTCTATGCTCCTGCATGTTGTGAATGCCACTTTCTTAAAATTATCAAACCAACCCCTACTAGCCTTGAAGGATCGAGTTTCAGCACTTGCTCCATTTTTTTTTTTTCATAAGGTCATCATGCAGCTTCCTTGCTGTTTCACAAATAATGGCCTCTGAAGCATTATCACCCTGTAACTTTTTCGTTGATCCAAATCAGCAAGAGTTTTTCAACTTTCTCAGTAATTTGTGGTCTTTGCTCTGATATCACGTTTCCCCTCTTTTGCAAGGTCATCTGCTTTAATTTTTTACCTTTGGCCTAATATCGTACTAATGGTAGATGCTGATTTACCAAAAAGTTTTGCTATGTCAACCACGTGAAACTGATCTTCATTCTTTTTAATAAACTTATTTTTTAAACTTAGTTGTGTTTTTTTGCAATTTTAATTTTTTTCTTTCATCTCTCGATCCTTCTTTGGACCCATGATCGCTTATCTCGCAATAAAAAATGCACCAAAACCGCAAAATAAAAAAAAAAAAAAGTTCAAAAGATGCCTGGAAAAGCTCGAGGTGTTTACAGCACGCGAGTTGCTATACTGATTCATACCTGTGCTCTCGACCCATTGTCCATGAGCACATGAGCCAAGCCACTTTGTCCCATTCCGTACACACGAAAACTTGGCCATTGACATCCTAGGGAATGTACGAAAACCTGGACATTTTTTTCTTGAACACCTCATTCAAAAGCCAGTTTATTCGACAAGTAATGCAGTCGACAACAGAGGTTTGATTGTAGAATGTTTATGAAATATGCATGTAGATAACTTATAAAAAACATTAAATTGTCATGTAGTTAGGAAAATTGTTGTGAAAGGTTATTTTTAACCCTTTCAGGGTCGAGAGGCCCTCTCAGAGACTTGTTCTCAGGGTTGGCCAAATTTCAAAAAAAAAAAAAAAAAAAAAAAAAATTATCATGAAAAGATAGAAAACCTTTTCCCGATCATAATGACACCAAAAGTATGAAATTTAATGGAAAACTTATGGAATTATGCTCTCGCGAAGTTAGCGGTCTCGACGATGTTTACTCTTCGGCGATTTTGCCCACTTTGAGCCCTATTTTCGGCAAAAATCATAGCTATTTCGCTAGAACTCCATTTTTTCTATCGAATGAGTACAAGAAACCACCCATTTACCGATTTCAACTATCCAATACAGTGGTCAGAATTTAGCAATTTTGCCAATTTCACACAAATTTCAAAAGATGCCAATTTCCGAATAGGGTCCAGAATAAACAAGAAAGACATTCCTGGAACTAAAATAACATTTCCTCTGTTCATTAGTCACGTCCCCACACCCCTCTTACATTCTTTTGCTTTCCACTTTGAATTTTTATTCTCACAAAAAAAATAGAAGGTTTACTGTTATGCACACTACTGCTTTAGTGTAGAAATGGTATAAATAATATCAGCGCACTTGTGAAAGAATATTAGACTCACCAGTTGACGTGTATTGGACGCATAGCATGATTTGTTTACTTTTGAACTTTGGTAAAAATCGAACATTTCTGCTACTTTGAGCTCAATTTCAAGGTACTTTTCATTGTGAAACCAGTCAAAATCATCTCAATTTCTGTAATATGTCTTCCAGGAAAACTAGAATACAACAATAAATACCATATGAAATTACATTGCAAAGTCGCTGTTTTAATCCAAAAACACGGTCGAAGTTTTTTTTTCTCATTACGCACTGTGTGCTGCAGGATTTTTTTTTATACCATGCACACTGACCACATAGACCTATTCTTTCATATGTAGGCCTACCAGCTTTTTCTCACTAGATTTGAGGGCGCTAGAATTTAGGAGTACTTGTACGTCAAAAACTCTGGTGCGTAAGCCGTACTAGTACGGCTGAAACCCTGAAAGGGTTAAAGTTCAAATCTAATAACTGAAGGTGAATGCTAAGGCAATGAGTAGTAATAATAATAAAAAGATGTGAGGTAGTGGGTTGAAATGCTACAGTGAGGAGGAGGGTAGGAGCAGTACTCATCTATATATGGTTGCTGGGGTTGTCTTAGCTCTTGGCCATATCACTTGCCATATTCACTCTCCTAGCCTCGTGGGCCCTATTGTACCTATTCTTAAAACTATGTATGGCATCTGTCTTCCCCCACTTCATAACCACCCTGGGATCGAGGAAATGTATCCTGAAACCCGTGACTTATCTTTGTTTTTAGCTTCCAATTGTGCCCCAGTGTACCTGTTTCCCATCTCAAACAACCTGCCCTTGTCTGCCCTATTAATTCTTCTGAATATTTTGTATGTTATTAACCTGTCTACCCTAGTCCTGTCTTCCAGGATCATTAGATTCAATTCCTTTAACCTTTCCTTGTAGCTTATTACACTTAGCTCTAGAACTAGTCTCGTTGCATACCTTTGCATTGTCTTCAGTTTCTTAACATGCTTCCTCAGGCATGGGTTGCATACTGGTGCTGCATACTCCAAGACCTGATATAAGTTGTATAAAGTACCCAGAATGACTGTTGAGATTCCTGAATGCCACTCTCAGATTTGCCAGGCAAGCATTGGCTGCATAGGTTATTTGGTTGGTGTGAGCCTTTGGCAATGTGGTAGGCATTATGCTTAGTCCCAGGTTTTTCTCTTTGAATGAGGTCTTCAGCCTCTGTCCCCGAAGTCTATAGTGTAGATGCCATGTTTTAGACTAGCAGTGTGTTCGAATATCATACAGGTGATGTGGGGTCACTGAGAGTATAATTAAGAGGGCTGAGGGAGGGGTTAAGGTGGTTGAGCATGTACAGAGGTTGGGGGAGGGATAAGTTGACAGAGAGAGTGTACAAATAGGGTGGAAGGGGGGGTCCCAAGACTGATAAAAGGAGGGGGTAAAAGAGGCTTATGAGTTTTAGTGGGTTGAGCATCCAACAGGCTTTGAGAGTGTCAGATGAGAATGAATGGAGACAGGTGGTTTTTAATATGTGCTGTTTGAGTGCAAGTACTGTAACTTATGAAGGAGGTGGGAGAGGGTAGTACCTGCACTTGGGAGAGGTGAGGATGTTGCAGTAAGAGGGTAGTCAGAGCATGATGTTAGCACAGTCCTGGAGAAGATGTGATGAATGAGTGACAGCAAGTGCATTTCCTTTGGATCACTTTTCCTTGGCAGGAGAGAGCCACGAGTTAAAAAAAAATAGTTACATAAACATTCTGTATATAAACACACATTTTATACCAAGGAAGCAGTATTGGATAAATATCATAAATAAGGAATGTGGATCCAGTAACATTTTTCATTACAGTGGGTTGGGTGAGATATTTACTTGTTCCTTAATAAGAATACTTTCAATCCCAAATATAGGAATTTAATTGAAGTTTGTGTATACATGGAAAAACAAATTTCAGAGTGTACACTATGGCAACTGCAGACATTATGACATGATGTGAAGGGTGAGAGAAGGGGTGGCCAGAATAGTGAGGTGCAATTTTATTATTAGACTTAAGGACAATTAACTGCAGGACAATCATTAAGGCTGTGATCACCTAGATTATAACATCATAAACTCATGCACTTAACTGGGAATTATAATTAATAGAAAGTAACTAAACTAGAACAAACACCCCATAAATGTTTAAACCTAGATAAATAACATATGTTGATGACTAGGATTTACTTAAGTACTATATGTTAACAGTTCTCTTAAAAAATTCTCAGGCAAACTTTATCTAATAGGAAGTAAAATACATGAAACTGGCCTGTAATTGTATTGTGTGGTGTATTCTTCTCTAATCCTTGTGTTAACATGACAAAGATAATTTTCAAATGTAATTTGTTCTCAGGTTAATTTTGGAACAGAGGGCCCTTGGTTTGAGCCACTGACTGGATATACCTTTGCTGGTCATGTTCCTTTGGAAGAGAGAGTACTGGGCTCCCAGAATCCTGAGAAGAGAGAGGATGCTGAGGTAAGTTTTTCTAAGTAGTTAGAGTATATAACAGCAGAGACATGAATTGTTCCATTTACTGTTCAGTTAAGAACTACCAGGTTTATACTTACCTTTTATTGCGCAGAGGAGAAAATTTTTGCCCTTATTAAACATGTGCACCTTTGCGCGTGTCATCCTACTCGCGCCGCGCATCTGGATTCCCGTTCTTTATTTCTAACCAAACACAAGCCTTCCCCGAGTCGCTTCGGTTAAGTGGTGATTGCGTTTGCCGGCTTCCCATTGGTTGAGAGAAAATGTAAACACTTGTGGCTTGGCGTCGCCCAGAGTGGGTTTTTTCCATCCAGTGTCACTAATATACATGTACTCTTGGATTTTACCCTCTACAATGTCGGTAAGTACTGATTGTTGTGTTTAGTGCGTACAGGAATAGTTTAGGAATATTTTGATATATACATAAAGTCCGTGTGAAGCATAATGTGAGTGTAACATGCAGTTGAAAAAAGTGCAACAAGGAAGGGCGAAAATTTTCATCTCTGCCCTTTTAGTGACATAGTTCACATTCAGTAAAATAATTTTTTTTTTTTCAACAAGTCGGCAGTCTCCCACCGAGGCAGGGTGACCCAAAAAAGAAAGAAAATCCCCAAAAAGAAAATGCTTTCATCATCATTCAACACTTTCACCACACTCACACATAATCACTGTTTTTGCAGAGGTGCTCAGAATACAACAGTTTAGAAGCATATATGTATAAAGATACACAACATATCCCTCCAAACTGCCAATATCCCAAACCCCTCCTTTAAAGTGCAGGCATTGTACTTCCCATTTCCAGGACTCAAGTCCAACTATATGAAAATAACCGGTTTCCCTGAATCCCTTCACTAAATATTACCCTGCTCACTCCAACAGATCGTCAGGTCCCAAGTACCATTCGTCTCCATTCACTCCTATCTAACACGCTCACGCACGCTTGCTGGAAGTCCAAGCCCCTTGCCCACAAAACCTCCTTTACCCCCTCTCTCCAACCCTTTCGAGGACGAACCCTACCTCGCCTTCCTTCCCCTGTAGATTTATATGCTTTCCATGTCATTCTACTTTGATCCATTCTCTCTAAATGACCAAACCACCTCAACAACCCCTCTTCTGCCCTCTGACTAATACTTTTATTAACTCCACACCTTTTCCTAATTTCCACACTCCGAATTTTCTGCATAATATTTACACCACACATTGCTTTTAGACAGGACATCTCCACTGCCTCCAACCGTCTCCTCACTGCTGCATTTACCACCCAAGCTTCACACCCATATAAGAGTGTTGGTACTATTATACTTTCATACATTCCTTTCTTTGCCTCCATAGATAACGTTTTTTGACTCCACATATACCTCAATGCACCACTCACCTTTTTCCCCTCATCAATTCTATGATTAACCTCATCCTTCATAAATCCATCTGCTGACACGTCAACTCCCAAGTATCTGAAAACATTCACTTCTTCCATACTCCTCCTCCCCAATTTGATATCCAATTTTTCTTTATCTAAATCATTTGATACCCTCATCACCTTACTCTTTTCTATGTTCACTTTCAACTTTCTACCTTTACACACATTCCCAAACTCATCCACTAACCTTTGCAATTTTTCTTTAGAATCTCCCATAAGCACAGTATCATCATCAAAAAGTAACTGTGTTAATTCCCATTTTGAATTTGATTCCCCATAATTTAATCCCACCCCTCTCCCGAACACCCTAGCATTTACTTCTTTTACAACCCCATCTATAAATATATTAAACAACCATGGTGACATTACACATCCCTGTCTAAGACCTACTTTTACCGGGAAGTAGTCTGCCTCTCTTCTACACACCCTAACCTGAGCCTCACTATCCTCATAAAAACTCATTACAGCATTTAGTAACTTACCACCTATTCCATATACTTGCAACATCTGCCACAATGCTCCCCTATCCACTCTTATCATATGCCTTTTCTAAATCCATAAATGCAATATAAACTTCCCTACCTTTATCTAAATACTGTTCACATATATGCTTCAATGTAAACACTTGATCTACACATCCCCTACCCACTCTGAAACCTCCTTGCTCATCTGCAATCCTACATTCTGTCTTACCTCTAATTCTTTCAATTATAACCCTACCGTACACTTTTCCTGGTATACTCAATAAACTTATTCCTCTATAATTTTTACAATCTCTTTTGTCCCCTTTCCCTTTATATAAAGGGATTATACATGCTCTCCGCCAATCCCTAGGTACCTTCCCCTCTTTCATACATTTATTAAACAAAAGTACCAACCACTCCAACACTATATCCTCCCCTGCTTTTAACATTTCTGTCATGATCCTATCAGTTCCAGCTGCTTTACCCCCTTTCATTCTACGTAATGCCTCGCGTACCTCCCCCACACTTACATTCTGCTCTTCTTCACTCCTAAAAGATGGTATACCTCCCTGACCAGTGCATGAAATTACCGCCTCTGTTTCTTCCTCAACATTTAAAAGTTTCTCAAAATATTCTCGCCATCTACCTAATACCTCCCTCTCCCCATCTACTAACTCCCCTACTCTGTTTTTAACTGACAAATCCATACTTTCCCTAGGCTTTCTTAACTTGTTTAAATCACTCTAAAATTTTTTTCTTATTTTCATTAAAATTTCTTGACAGTGCCTCTCCCACTCTATCATCTGCTCTCCTTTTGCATCTCCCCCTCTCTTCACCTTTCTTTTACTCTCCATATACTCTGCTCTTCTTATAACACTTCTGCTTTGTAAAAACCTCTCGTAAGCTAACTTTTTCTTTTATCACACCCTTTACTTCATCATTCCACCAATCACTCCTCTTTCCACCTGCCCCCACCCTCCTATAACTTCAAACTTCTGCCCCACATTCTCATACTGCATTTTTAAAACTATTCCAACCCTCTTCAACCCCCCCACTACTCATCTTTGCACTAGCCCACCTTTCTGCCAATAGTCGCTTATATCTCGCCCGAACTTCCTCCTCCCTTAGTTTATACACTTTCACCTCCCTCTTACTTGTTGTTGCCACCTTCCTCTTTTCCCATCTACCTCTTACTCTAACTGTAGCTACAACTAAATAATGATCCGATATATCAGTTGCCCCTCTATAAACATGTACATCTTGGAGCCTACCCATCAACCTTTTATCCACCAATACATAATCTAACAAACTGCTTTCATTACGTGCTACATCATACCTTGTATATTTATTAGTAAAATAAATATTTATATAAAAAAAAAAAAAATCTATTGCATATATGAATTCTGTAGTGGTCTGGTTCTATACAGAAGGATTTTATTGTCCTTCCAGATCAATGAGAAATTGTTTTATTATGAGCCCTCCAGCACCAGGTCAAAATATGTCTGCATTTTGGACGACAGTGACTCAGAACCGGAGGTAGATGACCCAGAATTGCTGGATAGTGGTGATGAATACTTGCCACCAGATGCAGAGGTATCAAGTGATGATGAGGAAGAAAAGCCAGCCAAAAAGCGGAAATTAGTGAAGAGAAAGAAAGGTATTACGATCGAGATGTACCCTGATGAGGAACAGATTTATGATGATATTGCTCTTCAAGGTCAATCTCATTGGTCCCAGGTTGACCTCCAAAATGATCCTTTGCCGCCATAAGAACATGAAAAGCCTCTTGAAATTAGGTCTCCATATGAGTATTTTCGTGTTTTCTTTTACCCCATCCATGGTAGATAACATAGCATATCAAACAAATTTGTATGCCAAGCAAAAAAGCATAATTACTAATTTTGCAACAGATTCTGAAGAGATCATGAGGTTCATAGGTGTTTTGTTGTTCATGGGTATTTCTGCATTACCATTAATCGAAGACTATTGGAGAAGTGCATTAAGGTGCCCCCAGGTTGCAGAAGTCATGGGGTCTAAGAGGTTTAGGTTGCTTAGAAGTACTATTCATTTCAATGACAACACACAAAAGGATAATGACAGATTCCACAAAATAAGGCCTGTTTACACTGCACTAACTAATGCTTGCTTGAAAGTTCCAGCTACACCCAAGCAATCTATTGATGAAGTCATGGTTGCTTTCAAGGTTAAAACTGCTGGAAACCTATGGCAGTACATCAAAACCAAACCAGATAAGTGGTGTTTCAAACTTTTTTGCCATGCAAGTGAAGATGGAATCTTTCTTTCTGTTCAAGGCACACCCTTTGACCCACCCAGTAAAGCCCAAAAGGAAATAAACGAAAGTTCTGTTTGTACTTGCTACAACATAACAAGAGAAACTCAGGCTAACTATGGCCCTTTCTCTCCGGCAATTGGTAAGTCACTGCATACACACAGTACTGGTATACGAGGGAAGAATTCTGTTTCCCTGTCCCCATGGAGATAAGAGGAAACTACAAAACAAGAACCTTTTTGTAAGATGAAGGAAACAGAGGTTGTGTTTAGTCAATGATGTGGGTAATCCTGTAGTTGTGTGATAAGTGTAACAGTAGAAAGAAGAAAAACGTTACTGCCCTGCAGTTTATCAGAACAGAAAATGACACATGAATCAATAACATGTTCATGTTAAAAACAATTACAAGCGTACATTCGTTTTACACTACTTGGCAGGACGGTAGTACCTCCCTGGGCGGTTGCTGTCTACCAACCTACTACCTAGAAGATGGAATCATACATGATATACTCATGTATCAAGGCACACCAACTTTTGACAGCAATCCCATAAAGCTTCCACAGGAAGAAACTAAACTACCAATAAGTTCAAAGATTGTTATGGTACTTGCAGCAACTATGAACAAGACCAACACATCAGCAATCTATGTTGACAATTTCTTTTCAAGTCTACCTTTGGTCAAGGTACTAAGAGATAAGTATAACTGCAGATACACTGGAACAGTACGTGAAAATAGATGTGGTAAGCCAGATCTGATGCCTGTCAAACAAATGGAAAGGAGCACTGTGGACAGGGGCACTTTTAGCTTCAAAAACAA